AAGCTTTTGTGGGTAAAACCTACTTCATCTGAGGACATGGGTTTTACCCATGAAAGCGTATGTCCTCATTAATCGGTTAGTCTCTAAGGTGCCATAGGACTCCTCGTTTTTCCAGATGCAGACTAACACAGCTACTCCTCGGAGACCCGAGTTGATGGTATTCGCTGCTACCGTAGCCCACATTAACTAACCCAAGTTTGCAAGAGAGCTATGTGACTATCACCAAGACTTTGGACTGGAACTCAAGAAACAAATACCCAATCTCTCTTACATCCGCTTAACTAGATCTGTGAAGGGTGCAGAAAACCTGTACCCCACAGCATTTTGGCATAGCTAAAGTAACCCCTAGCATACATGCAGCTACCCCACCGGAACACACATACACCTCCTTTGTTCGGGAGGCAGTGTTCCTGTATTGATGGAAGAGCCCTTTCAGTCCATGTAGGCTCAAGCAGCATATACACCCACAGACCTACGCTGGCAACGCTATGCTAACAGGGCTACGCCAGTATAGCCTCTATAGTATAGACAGACCCTCGGATCCTATTCCCTGTTCTGCACTCACCTGTGCAATGCTGGGCAAAACAGTTTGCTCCTGTGACTCGGTTTCCCCATCTTTAAAGGACACCTCCTTCGGTGACTCATAGTGAGATTCACAGATGAAGAGCATCACATCGGAGCTGCCGTAATTATTGCACCTTGAGACATCACATTCCAGGAAGCTGACTGTCACTTTAATCCCAGAAGTATTGCTTCAGAAAGGACGCAAATCCAGAATGGCCCAACAGGGCTGGAATCAACCACTGGAACAATTTAAGAAGGATCGCAGTGGATTCTCCATCACTAACTCTTGTATATCAAGAATGAATGTTTTCGAAAAGGAAGAGCTGCTCTAGGATTTCTCTCAGGGAAGTTGTGTGGCCCGTGAAGAACAGTTGGTAAAACTAGATCACAGCGGTTCCTTCTGGCTTTGGAATCTCCGAATAACCCTGCATTCCAATCAGGATTTTTTTTTTTTACTAAATAAAGATTAAAAACAAACTGTGATGAACACTAGCACTCCAGTAAAGCTCCCTAGGACTTCAATGCCACTTTTTTATTCAGAGAGATCAAAACAAAAAAGAAGTGATCATATTTTAAGGGAGGGGTCACCATAAGGCACTATTACACCCAGTCTGACAAGTTCTTAGCAGGTCTGCACACAATGTCTCATGTTGTTAATTCTCTGTGTCTTGCTGCTTGCAACAGCTCCACTAATTTGCTTCCTGCTGTCATCTCTCTAACAAGAGTCAATCCTTGCGGCAAAGTTGCTTGCTGGGAATGGTTTGAGTGGAGATTTCCCAAGCATACATTTCCCAGTGCCGTTTGCGACCACCTCGGTTCAAGGACTGATATCTACAGTAAACAAGAAGATACGCAACAGGTGCCGAAATCTGCTACCACTTGGCCTATGGGCAGTGGTAGGAGTGAGAAGACCACTGCAAATCTGTGGATATCTGCTTTATACCCATGGGTATCCACATCCGCAGCTCATTTTTGCGGATGCAGTGGGGAAGCGCATATAAAATGCTGTATGCACACAAGCCTCTTGGAATGAGGTAGTCAAACAATACTGCATTATACAAACCATTAACACCAGTTTAACTCTGACAACTGCAAGGGGAGTGTCACATTAGCACCAGAAGGGTCTTTCTGAGTTGGAAGGAAAGAGGCGCCTCCAATCACACAGAATTGTTAGCAATTACAAACAGTGATGAAAGAAACCACTTCCACACTGATGCAAATGACAAATTCTTCCCTTTCCTACATACAGAGATAGAAACACCATGTGAACTGCCGTCCTCGTTAACAAAGTCAGGCTAGAGAAGAAACGTTAAAACCGCGTTAGTTACAAAACTCCAGAATTAAGATTTCAGCTCAAAAAAACCTCAATCAATCACCATCAGAGCAAGCAATGGCAAGATCAAAATATTCATTAAAAATAAGGTTGAAGGAGTCAAGTCTGACACTCAGTTCTTAACTTGGGGACAAACACACAACAGAACTAGTGTCGCAGTGGGTTGGGACTCTCCTTAAGCGAAGGCCTCCAGCCTTCCAACATTGAGTTGTGTCTGGAGTGGTGATCCGGGTGCTTTAAAAAGAGATTAACAACAAGCAAGGTGCCCGGGCAGGAACTTCGGTTCAATTCCTTGCTCTGGCACGGCCATCTTGTGACACCTAGGGCAACTCACTTCATCTCTGTGCATCAGTTCCCCATCTGTACAATGGGGATAATCACCCTGCCCTACCTCACCAGGGTGGTGTGAAGATCAACACATGAAAGCCCATGAGACTAGTGACGTGGGGGTGGAAGGAGGAGCACACAAGTATCGGAGATAAACTGGTTGGGATGCAAGCTGTACCTGTGCCAATAAACACGTCTCATGCTCGCTTCTCTCAGCTTCCCACCTTCCCTTATTATGTTTAGTCTCATCTAGCTGGGGGTTCCTCAGGACTGGTACCTAACATTATAAACACCCCGCCTAGGTATGATGTTGTTACACGATTACTAATGGCTTTCATAGTCAGTCATCAGTAAGCAGTTCTAGCTTATAACCATCAGATAAAGGACCGCTCAAATCGAGAGCGAATACACAAGCCACTTGTCTTGCCATATTCCTTCACATTACAATATCTTAAAGTACCCGTACACCAGAACAACAATTGAAGGACTAATCCAAACTCTGGCCCATTGAAACAAGTGGGATCTTACCACTGACTTAGTCATTTCTAATTAAGAAACAAGTGATCACAAAGCTAAGCACATTAGAGAAGTTACAGTTTCTATATCAATAAGGACCATGTGTTGTCATGAGACTGTTGTTGCAGTTTGGATTCTCATACTTTAGTCCCAGTATGAATTTTCCCCACCTCTACAAAAAAAAACACTAAACCCCCAAAGTCCACTTGATGACAATACATTCCACAAGTTATATTCTCTCCTTTCAACTAAAGGCCAGAAGTAAAAGGCATTCATTTTTTTAAATTGGCTCATTTTCACTTGAAAAGCACTCCTAACTCCTAGAAAAGAAAAAAAAAAATCACATTGCGGGCTTTAATAAAATTGTATCATTTTCTTAGGAGCCTAATGAAATTACATGCTTTCGAGTCTTATTGCAAACATTTCACAGTTATAACAGCTGTCTAAAAGGGATGTCTAAAATTTCATTTTAACAGAGTATTTGCTACAGCCTGTTTCAATCCATGCTCCGATCACTAGCGTCTCGCACATGAAGTCCATTAGAGAAATCAATCAAGCCTGTAAAATATAGCATAGGTAACGATGACGGTTTCCCCCACTACACTAACCAGCTGCACAAGTTATTCTGCCCTTGATCTTTACCATATTCTCATCACACAAGCATTTGACTTGACTTGCCGTCCAAGTTCAGCTCCAGGGCACCAACATTCTGGTACAAAAGTGAAGTTTGGGGGATGGTGGTAACGTCTCCATCCCTAAAGGTGTTTAAGTCTCGGCTTGACAAAGCCCTGGCCGGGTTGATTTAGTTGGAATTGGTCCTGCCTAGAGCAGGGGGCTGGACCTGATGAACTTCTAAGGTCTCTTCCAGCTCTATGGTTCTATTATTCTACGAGGGAAGGGAATCGTGAAAGTGGCCTTTCCACGTGCAAAGCGAAGAGACGCAGATAAGGCGTAGAAGCCTCTATAATGGCAATGGGAGCAATCCAGGAGGAAGTTGAACCTGATGTCCCTCCAGAAGCAGAGACTCGCCGGCCAGGAGGGAAATGCGGCTCATGTTAGAGCTGTCTTCTCCAGACCTCAGACTAGCCGTTCAGCCACCATTCCTGAATGGAGCATTTGGGGATAGGTCGACTCAGCAAAAAAGTATCCCATGCCAGAGAGTAGCAGCATCTCGATCAAATGACTCAGGCTCATGCTCCCAGGCTACCATCTGCGCTCAGGACCCAGCCTGAACCTTTAACCCCTGCATTGCTATTTCTAACCCAGTAGTGGGAGCTCCATGGGCCCAAATTAATTGACAGGGTGCTAAGACTTGGCGCTGCAGCTCTTCCCCCTGTGTAAACATACCTATAGGAACATCTTCCCGATCCCAGTCACGGTGGAGATCCCATTGAACTAGAAATGATAGAACCCCACCGTGGGAAGAGGGAGCTCTCATGTCAGCATGGATAAGAAAGAAGTTGCTTGGTCCGTCTAGTGGTTTAACAGAAGCCTGAAAGAGCGTTAAGTGTGCGTGCTGGTGTAGGAAATGTATCAGAGCCCCATCTTTGACCAGGGAATAGCAGCTTTCGCTTCCTACCAAATTTATTGCTGGAGAAAAATAAGAATTCTCTTTTCCCCACAATAATACGTACCAAATGGTACACACCACCTCCTGCCCCCACCCAGAAATGCAAGCATTAGTGGCTGATGTAGTCCTTTGGAAGATACAGCACTTCAACTCAGGCCACGTCTTCACTCTGGGGAAGATCGACACTGCCACGATCAAGCTTCTGGAACTCGATTAAGCAGGTCTAGTAAAGACCCACTAAACTGAACTCCTGCTCCTCGCAAGGAGTAAGGTAAGCCAACTGAAACAGGGTGGAAACTCGAATTAAGATACATTGACTCCAGTTACATAATGAACATAGTTGGAGTTTCAGGGTATAGCCGAGTTACTCTGTTAAAGAAAAAACCAACAAATGGCCTGGTAGCACTTTATAGACTAACATTTAGATAGTATCATGAGCTTTCGTGGGCACAGCCCACTTCTTGTGTATCTTAATTCGACCTTCCAGGTAAGTACAGACAAGGCCTAAGCCATAGCAGTAACAGACCTGAACGATACCCAGAGAACAACCAGACTTGCCATTTGGTTAGGTTTCTCTCCAATATGGCCAGCCCCTGGATCTGTGGTGGCATCCTTTGTTCTCAGCTGCTCAGAGTTTGGGGCAATGACTCAATGATGCTGTATCCATGGACAACAGTCCTTTAGCCTTACCTCCGAATCTTTCTCCAGCTGGTTCCTAACGACAATCAGATTATACAGTATCCGGTCATCGTCCGCTTCCGTGTGGGACATGTCATGAGGGGTGCTCCACAGGTTCTTTTCCTCGTCCCTCGCCAGGGTGGCTCCAAACGAGGCATAAGGGTTCTTTTTACTGAAACAGGGAAAACATGGAGGTGCAGTTGTCAGTGACCGAGTTCTGTGTTCGCTACTTACGAGACGCAATGGTAGGTTGGGACTTGCCCACACACCCAAGCACCCATTTTTATGTCAAGTTTGACCTCATGCCGCTGCCAAAACACAAGAAATTCAAGACGCCTGTTGTCCTATCCTCAACGCCTCTGGTCTCCAGGACTACCGCTACCTAACACTCAAGTGACACTAGCCTCTGCTCATGCCCGTCCTCGTTGTACCGCATGCCTGCTCGTCACACCGGTAGCGGAGCAGGCTTGCTTATACTGCTTGTGTTTGGCTAGTGACTGGGCTCTTGGTCGATCTGGAGAACCACGTGGCATCCATAGGTGCCACGCTAGCAAGCAGCCAGATTCCGGAGCCAGGGGAAGTTGTAGACCCCAAACCAATCCTGTTGTGCATGTAGAGATTAGTCATCGAGGCGCACGGTGCAAGGAATTAGCATCTCATTAGTGTTACTCCTGGCCTGTACACCTCAGCCATATTACAGCAGGAGCTATGGAGCCAGTTGTACCCTTCCCCCAGAAGGGCCCATCAAGGGCAAGAGAGACTCTAATAATTTCACAGGCTCAAACGCACCAAGTTCCCAAGGTACCCTGCAGCCAGCAGGAAGCTTGCTTGCCCTCAGCACACCCAGGACAGTCACGGTCTCAACCAGCTGACATCACCAAAGAAGGGAAAGCCCCCAAGTGATCACGTGGCCTTTAAGAGGGGTCTGTAGAGAGGCCCGATCCTTCCCCATCCCTCATGGCAGCATAGTCTGCTGAGGACCGGGGGCCTTGGCCTCACCCCGTCTCCTGATAGGATTTGAAATGGGCACATACTTAGCTTAATGCAAAGGTGGCCAGAAACTCCCCAGCTTTCCAGAGAGGGAGTGACACTGTGGGGAATGCCCCCGCCCCACAAGAGTCCGGCCACATGAAGACCGAATGACCCAACGGAGCATGGGAGGGTGCCTCTCCTACCCCCTGTAACAGAGCCTAGGCCAGCAGAACATGGTCTCCCTGGCGAGGAGTCGTCATTGGACAGCAACGGTGCCTTGTTCTGACCAGGGGCCCCGCATTACCCGGCCCTGGCAGCTCAACGCCGGGCCGCTGGCAACGCTGGATAAATACAAAGCCCAGATACGGCAGCAAAGCATTCGCCTGCTTAGCCCTGACCAGTCAGGACACCGGGGACTCCAGAGCACGAGGGGAGGGCGGATTTGTGTTTGGAGCAGTAGGCCTGGCCTGCACGCCTGGCTCTGGCACAGAGCGGCTCTCTGCCCGTGGGCAAGTCGTCTGGTCCGTGCCTCAGTTCCCTAGCTATGAAGCGGAGCACCAACACTGCCTTATTGATCTATTTATAGTGCAAGCTCTCTGGGGCAGAGTCGGACTCTCTCTCGCTGTGTTTGCTCAGGGGCTAGCACCGTCAGGCCCCACTCTTAAGTTGGGTCCCTCAAGGCTCCAGTGATAAAACAGCCCGTTGTGATTTCCTGGCTGGCGACTGGCTTGTCTCATGTGAGTTGGTGGAGCGTGTGGGCGAGGTAATCCTGCTGGACGGCCGTGATTACGTCCTTGCAAAACCAATTCCGTTTTCTTCATCGAGGGGATGAGATTTTTTTGGGGGGTAGGCATTTTCAAATGACCCCCTTTTAAAGGTCAAGCTAGAATGAGATCCGAGAGGGATGCGGACAGGGGAGGAGTAAATCTGCTCCGGTCCGCTTGTCAAGAACGGACCTAACATTCGTACTATTTGCCCCCTCAACTTTCATGCTTTAAAAACTGTATGCTGCAGAGCCTTTACCAACCCCACAGGCATTTTACCTGTGAATAAGACCTCTTAAAACCCATGCATATAGAAGCATTAGCTTGTAGAGAGCCATTTTTTATGCTTTACCCTAACTATCCACACAGGAAGGTTTATTAGGGTTTCTGCTAGGGCTGGAAACTGTTTTTCCTTGTCCTACCAGTTGCATAACCTTTTGCAAACTAATTAAAAGACAAGCCGCGGAAAGAAACTTCAGAGGCAAGAATAGCACAACACCATTATTTGTAATCTAGTGCTGGCATGTGTTCAGGAAAGGCATTTCCATCGTCAAGCTTTCTGGACTTTGCCTCTTTGTAGTCCACCACTTCAATTTAACAAGCCACCCTGCTCCAATGAAGACTAATTAGAGTCACTTCAAGAGGGCCAAGATATCACAAATAAAATCAGCAAGCTTGCTACCTCTGAACACCGTTTTCACACTGCCTTTTAATTATACACTTTGGTTGAGCAGAGGTTTACTCACTGGGCTGATGTAAGATGAACAGCTCAGGCAATTCCGCATGATTTTTGTGCCATGGAGCAGTATGAACATATTTTTGGACCATCCTCAGACAAGTACAAGACCTAGCTCCTGGTCACTTCAAGTTCAAAGTTAGTCAGGTTGAAACAAAGCCAGGTGTGAACCTCAAATAATGATTTTTGTTATTCATACTTTCATAGCTGCAATGCGTTTTCCAGCCCAGGAAAGTATGCTACAAGAGGTGTACATTGTGTCACTGGCATGCAGCCACCTCTGGGGTGGAGCGCCACACCATCTCACTGAGTAGAACACAACTCAAGACTGCCCGCGAGAGCCAAGAGGAGGTGTTCTCGGCATCCATGCAGGCCAGACAGCAGCTCACCTTGTAAGGCATCATCCCAAAGTCTGACATCGGATGAGATTCACCGCTGGAATAAGGCTGCCACAACCCCCCCGGCTTCAGTGGAATAGCTCCCTCTTATCGGCCCACAGCATTTCGTCCTCACTTGGTCTCCTCTAGAAGAATGGAGGTCTGATCCCATCCTCATGGGTTCAGAAACCTTGCGTTCCAATGGCCAATAAAATCCAAGCCACTGGTCTATTTAACCCCAAGAATTCCATGCATTGCCCAAGCCCCGTAACTCGGAGACCCCAGCAACAACTCTTCCTCCAGGGACGTCTCCTCTGAAGCCACATTTTGAAGGAAGAGACAAGGGAAAACCAGAGCTAGCTCACCACCACCAGACCCTCCCAGGTCCAGCTGCCTCCAATAGGAGTTGAGCCCATTTGATGCATTGCCGGCAACTGCTGAGAGTTCGTGTTTCATGAACAGGTCACTGCTCCAAGGTGCTTTCAGTGCAGATAATACAGTCACAAACATTAAGAGACTAAATTCTCCGTGCAGCTGCCTCTTGAGGAGCCCTCTCCGCTCCCCCGCGAGAGCTCCCCTTCAAAGCGAGGCAGATTTCACGGTCAGGTGTTCGATGGAAGAGGCCACCAAACCAATGTGTAATCACCGCCTGCCATTGCTAATGGGTACGTTAAACCCTCCGCAACTCGTTTAGCCTGAAATCTCTGCCAGGCGAGATTTGACTGTTGTCTGGAGCAGGACCTGACTGTATTAGGGGGAAAAAATCTTTCCCATGCCAATTGTCATTCAGTTGGAATCATTCAGCGAAGGTTTGGGGGAAATAAGGATTTTCCTTCAATATTCACTGATGCCGGAATTAGAAGGGTCAGAGTAATCTTCTAGCACCCAGCACATCACACAATAAGAGGCCTTCCAGGGTCTCAGTTGAAACACAAGCGTAACTCTTTCAAATAATGGCTTAATTCCAGTGCCGCAGTGACAGTAATAGCACGGAGAGGTGTGTGATACATCGGGGCTGTCAGATGGACTGGGCTTTGACTGGATTTCCTGCGACAAGCCAGCATTAGCTAACCGGCTCATTACTGTAATGTGTTACTAAAGAGAGGCGCTCCGGGCCGGCAGCTCACAGCGCGGCAAGAGGCTCACACAAACAAAGCAATGAAGAGGGCCGTTCCTCTCCCCGTGCAGGCACTTAGCTCTCATTACGTTAATAGGAATTTCCTGGCACGGTGTGGGCCAAGGTCAGGACTGACCCGCTCTCTGCGTGATTATGAAGGTAGCTTATTTAAAACCCACGTGCGTGCCATTCAAGTCCTGCATCTCCTCAGTAGAGACAGAGGGTTTCTCCCCACCCGGGGAGGGGGGGTCTCTGCATCCAGGCACACAGGATGGCACGGTTTACGAGGTAGGCACAAAGCCATCCGACTTTGTTATCATCCGGAAAGCCTCAGAGGAGAGATTTCCCCGGCATTGCTCCCTGCGGGTATGTCTACACAGCAAATAACTTTCTTAGCGTCTACACAAGCCAATTGCTATTTTGAAATTAATTCAAAACAGTGGAGGGCTTATTTCGAAATTGGTAAACCTCATTCCACGAGGAATAGCGCCAATTTCAAAATTGCTTTTCGAAATAAGCGCTGTGTAGGCACTTATTTCGAAATAGGGCTCCTACAGCGCTTCCCACGGTGCCCTGCTGGCCACAAAGTAACTTCTGACCTGATGCCCTGCCAGAACCAGTTCCAGCTGGCCTTAAATGCAATTCAGCGTCCAATCAGTGTGGACGCACTATTTCCAATTACATTGTGTGTGTAGACGCATTATTTCGAAATAAGATATTTCAAAATAACTACTTCGAAATTAGATATTTCAAAAAAGAAACTGAACAGGCAATACGCCTCTGATGGCATTTTGAAACAGAAAAGAGTGTCATTCTAAGTGAATGTTGCCAAGAGGAAGCAGGTTGGCATGCGGAGGGTTTTAAAATACAGATCAGCAGAATTGCTGGGGATGTCTGGCGTCACAGATACTAACGCAGTCTCCCAAAAGTATGCTGAGTAGTATAAGCAAACAAACCCCTTGGCCACAATGACATAATGGGTGCAGCCTCGCATCTCGCACCCGTGCTTGACGACACAGTGATCAGACTGAAAATCAGTGGGATTACTCACAGAGTGTACAGTTAAACACGTGAGTAAATTGCGTGTCGGAACTTTAAGGTCCTCCTAGTGAAGTACTGAATCCGACCTAGGTAGGCTATCTACAAGCAATGAGCACAGCCATTGGCACCCAAAATCCTATGAGAGCAAGACTGGAGCCACCTTTTGTTCAAAGTCTCTGCCTCTCCAATTTAAAAATCTTCACCCTGGGATGCATTAACAGGTGTGTTGTGAGCAAGACACGAGAAGTCATTCTTCCGCTCTACTCTGCGCTGGTTAGGCC